GCGCGGAAGACAACGTGGATGCGAGGGGTGGAGAGCGAGAACGAGCGGCTGGTGCGGCGGACGAGGGCGCGCGCGGAGAGGGTGCAGGTGCAGGTGCAGGTGCTGGTGGGGATGGCGAGGCGGCGTGGGGTGCGGGGGGGCGGAGATGTGGGAGAGAGAGTAAAGTTTACGTAGCCGGAACAAGAGAATGGACGGAATGTTACTTGCACCCCTTATGCATTACAGTAACAGCGAGGATACAGTGAGGGTACAGCGAGGATAGATTCCTGCGGAAACGTGTAACACGTGTTCCAGCAGAGTTGCAGCTACTGGCACAGTGGCACCTGGCACCACTGTTGAAACAAGAAACTCACAGAACCTCTTTTTTTCGTCGTCTCTACTCTCACTTCTACTTATCCGTCTCGCTGCTGACGGTGATCGGACAGCCTATCGTGGTCGGTTTGTCACTGGAGGCGGCTTGTTCCACCTGTGCCGGCCAGGACACTTTCCCTTTTACATAGTGCTTATCTCTCACATGGTAACCGATGCCCCTTGCAGAGACGGTGTTCTTCATTGGATCGAGTGACGACGCCGACGTTCCGTAAAGGGAGAGGGAAGGACGTTGTCGGATGACAGAGACTTGGCAGGCCGCTACTTGGCACGAAGGAGGGGCACGAAGGAGGAGGGGAGCGACAGCGAAACAATGTCTCGAGATAAACCAATTCTCAATGGCGTCACAAATCGCGGCGATGACGAATGCACTACTGTGCACGTGTTACTGTTGTGTACACGTGTTACCGTTGTGTACACGTGTTACTGTTGTCATATATAAAAATAATAATTACACCTAAAACAATTGCACCAAAAATATGTTACATTACAGCATATTTTAGCTCACCTTCAAAACTACCGAGTCGTCCTGCAATTGTCACTGTTCTGCGCGAACCGCCTTCATTTGCGTTGGAGACCTAATGCATTTCTGTCGCAGGCCTGGCCATTTCGACAGTTTTTTTCCTCCCCCTGCAACGCTGAACTCCCTCCCCCTGTGCGCAAGCGTTTTCCTCACTCGCCAGCCTGTCGGCCCAAATTTGGAGCAGGCGGAAAAAACTAGGAGCATAGGCCAAAGTTACAAGTACTGTAGCATAGCGGAGGAGTACATGAGGACAATTGTACGCATCTCTGGATATCTCAGAGAGATGGTCTCACCAAACACGTAAATCGTTTCGCTCGGGGAGTTGCTGTCTTTCCTCGCAAGCAGCGGGTCCATGAATTCGGCCGGAGCATCAAACTCCTCGACTACACTAATGGCAAGCGTGAGCTGAGCGACTAAGGCTAGCACGGCGGTTTCTAGAATATGGCCGTTCTCCGTGACTAGACAGACGAGGTACGTGGCTATTAGTACGGCGCCCATGACTAGTGGGGCATTGTGCGAGTACACGGTGCTTGAAATGTATACAATTCCCAAAGACATAAGGGCACACAAAGCGACGACAGCAAAGACAGACTTGCGAATGAGAGTTCCCTCGCCCTTCGCCTCAGCAAAAAACATGCGATCGGTGGCAGCGCGGCTGAGACGCATGACCTCCAATGTGATGTCAGCGGCCTCCAACAAGGCGAGGAACAGGCCGACGACGATGGCATATGCGCCGTAGAGCTTGACGAAAGAGGCGTCAGCCGGGGCGCCGAAGAAACAACGGACGATGGCGCCCAGGATGCCGCCGAACTCGAGGTAGCCGGTGGCGGCGGCAACGGCGCCGCTCGCCTGGACTGAACCAAACAGAAAGGTCCAGACGCAGGAGAAGACACCCGCATCAACCGGAAGGTGAACAGCCGAGAGCAGAGTGCGTAGGGTTAGCAGCGAGAGGCGCAGGATGAGAGGGCGGCCCACTCCAACGCCGAGGAAAGAGGCGGCGGCTGGCGCGTAAAGAAGCAACGTACAGATAACTGAGGAAAGCGCAAAGCTGAAAGCGAAACAGATAGTTCGGTACAAGTACATTTCCAACGCAAATCTTGCCAAAAAAAGCTGCCTCCGTGCCCCTATGCGAGATCGGCACGTAGAGCTGAAATTTTTCGAAGCAGACCCTCGTCCTCTTTGGCTAGCAGCTCATTGAAAGCATGCGCCAGAACAATGATAGTATACGCATGAAGCAAGTAGAAATATCGACTGCGGGGCCGTGTGGGATAACTCCTCTCCGCCCTGGGTTGGGTGAGAGGCGGAGGCTTTAGCGAGGGAGCACGCGGCGCGGACGCGACGCGCCAATTGAACCGATCGGACGAGCTCGCGAAAAGGGAGTGGCTCACTGGCCGGTTACGCGCAGTCGCCCCGTGGTGCGTAAACGGGAGCGACCGGTAACGGGTTAGAAGCCAGCGCGCGCGGCGGACAACCGAAACGGACGTACGTAGGCGCAAAAGGGACGGGGGCGAGCTTGCCCCCGTTTACTGGTGGGGACGGGTGCCAGGTCTTAACCCCGCAGGGGGACGCCTCGGACACCTGTCCCAGTACAGTAGTACAGTACCTGCCGCCTAGTGCGTGCCGGGTACTGTACACAATTAAAAAACTAGCGCCATAATTGCTACTACCGCACGGCCGCTGCTACTACACGTGTGCACCACTGTACACGCGTGTTGCTTACAGACTACCGCACGGACGACACGTGTGCTAACGTACACGTACGCCAGATTACGACCGCTCGGCATGCGCGCGCGCTCGCTACACGTGGGCACAGCCGCCCACGTGTATACCGTATACGGCCGTCCGATGACCTCCGCGCGCTCGCGCCGGTCATTATACTACAGGCCGCAGAAGAGTGACGGACGTCACTGAAGACGACATTCATTGTGTGGTATAACTACCTTCGTCCCGACCACTCGGAACGAGGGGGGTTGGAGGTAAGGGAGCGCGCGACGCTGGGTAACCCACGCGAGCGCGAACCGTACGGAAGGACTCGAAAAGAGGGAAGGCTCACGTGGCCGGTGACGCGCAGCCGGTCGGTGGTGTCAGATCCGGACGGCCGGTCACGGGTTAGAAGCCTGAGACTTAGAGGTAAAACCGGACGGAGTTAGCAAAAAGCCGTAAAGGGAAGGGAGGCGAGTCTGCCTCCGTTTACTGGAACGGGGCAGGTGCCCCCGGTCTTAACCCCTAAGTGGGACGCCAGGACACCTGTCCCGCTACAGTAGCTGTTACTTACTGTATACCAGCTACTGTGCTAAATTGGCTAATTTGTGCCATTAACTACTAATTACTAATTACTTACCGTTCGGATCCTACACGTGTAACCAGCGGGGTACTACTGTACTCCGCACCGGCTGTGTGCTGTAAATATAACTCCTTACAGTTCTTCTCGCGCTTACAACCATCGTACTGTATCCCGGGGCGGCAGCGGTGGCGCCGTTGCCTTCGCGCCGTTGTACTACACATTGCATCAAGTCGTTGAAAGGTTCTATCTAGTTTCTACAAGATGTCCGAGAACCTCTTGCAGCAAGTGGAATTGCAAGAAGGGAACAAGTACAGTAATCCGTGTTTGCGTTTCGACATAAGAGTCCCAACAATTAGTCCTACACTCCGCTAGTAAGTAACGCACGAACACTCGTCCACAGAATCATTTCATACGCAAAATGATTCCGAGGAGCTGCTCGCACCGTCCTCATTGTAGTACTGATGCGCAGAGCAGGAGCAAGCGTAGCTGCTATCTCGAGAAGGTTCCGAGCTTTGCTCGGATGGATATAATTCGCCCACGCTTGCAAGTACTGATGGACACCTTTCTCGGAGAATCTCTTCGGCGCCTGCAAGTCGCAAAAAGGATGAGATATACACGCACATTCCCAGTCGAAGACAAACATCCCCTCATCGGTAGAAACGGCCTATCGGTGAGCCCAATTGTAATACTCAAAGTCGCCGTGTACGAGCGTCATCGGCATGTTGCCAGAATCGAGCTCTGCGCATAACTTCCGAACAATACGAGGTAGGTCTTCAGTGCACAAATCGTTTTTGCGCATAATCTCGCTGAACGTTGGGTGCATGATCCAGTCGTCCACTTGTTCCGCAAGGTTAGCAAGGGAGCAATCCAGAACTCCGTTACTCTTCAACTCGTCGATATGCTGTATAGCTCGTGTTTGAATTTTCGCAAGCTTACCAAGAGCAATTTCGGTCTCCTTTGCAGAAGTGGCGGGGACAGTGAGGAATTCTCTAGTAACAACACAACGGAGACTCTCATCTACAGCAACAACATCAACCGTATCGGCCGCAAATAGATTGGCAATGCATTTAGTGATCGTCTGTTCCGGACAGCCAGGCGGTGCAGATTTGATGTAGAACCAGCCACCGGATGTGTTCACTTTAAACAACAACGCCATCGATGTCCAAGCATGACGTTGCACTTGAGAGGTCGGGGCGAGACCCTGACTGCGGACAATGGCCCTCAAATATGGTGCGCCTCCCTCAATCCATGTGTGTTGACAAGAAGGGCTGGTTTTGGAGAGTTGTTCCAAGGAATTTGCACACGACTGTAACAGGTTCACGATAAGCACATACGCAATCTGATAATCACCCGTGTATTCTTCCTTGCACAGCAGGTCGTGAAAGGTCCGAGCGTCATTCCATTCATACTCATTTGGATCGGTGCAAGCAAAATCGATCAACAACGGTGTTGTTACGAGTGAGAGATAAACGCGACCATCCGGGTTGTACATAAAACTGGTTCCATCGTCTTCTCTCGGCAGCAATTCGGCGACTGTTTGAAAGGTTGGGTTTCGTGAACAAGCTTTAACGGAAGAAGCAAGATCGTTGCAACACTGGGATGGACTGTAATCTGCCTCACTTTCATAAGTGAAAGTCGGAAGATGACAAGCGTCGTCGATAACAGTCGTGAGTACCCTGCAAGGGGATTTCTGAAAGCACAGAACGTAGGCGATAATTGCGTCAGAAGAACAGATGCCTGTGCTAGACTGGCCTAAAGCGGCAGGAGAGCTCATCCGAGCTCGGCAGCATGGGACGCAGACCGCACGAGCAATGAGGGCCTCCTTTAAGACAGCATGGACGGGCATGTTTGGACATGTATGGACGTCAGCGTGCACCTGATTGGTCCATTTAATACTTTTCTTAACAGTATGATGGCGCACACAAAGTTAAAATAATGGAATCTGTCGCTACCAACGTGCCATACGAGAGCACACCATTGGCTGTCGCCTACCGCATAAGTGCGATTGAATTCAATCTTGATCCAATTTAGCATACATTAAAATTCAATTGAATCATTTTATTGACGTCCCTGAATGCCAGTACACGGGGATCGCGATATAGTGCCTCCCTCTGTCAGTGGGCCGAAAACGGCACTATATCGAACGAGGCACTGTAAGATAATGAGATTTGCGGCTTTTTTGCGGCCACTTTCTTGCATCACTGCTCAGAAAGACCGTTCGCTTCCCTATCGATAGCCCGGTATGATGCACCCCTTGAGCCAATTTACGGATCACGGCGCGCTGACACAATACATTAAATTATTGGACATGTAATATTTTCAAAATCGCAAACATATACATCCAAACATGGCTGTCCATGCTGTCTTAAAGGAGGCCCTGAAGAGCCCAGCCCGACTACGGTTCTCCTCGCTTTGAAGAAAACCAAAGATCTTTAATTCAGAAAAATTTCTTAAACTTGGATGAATTTTCTAAACCTTTTAGGTGGAAGAGGAAACAAAACTCCAATCCGTGTATAAAATAATGTAAATATTATCATTTCTATAAATAGCCTAAAATGAGAAAAAACAATATTATCCGTCTCTCCAACGCAAATCGATAATCTCCCATCTATAATCCTGTATGATTGCCTACTGCCGACTGCGATCCGAAATACAAGGGGAAGTAGGCATTCACAGAGTGTTCACAAAGTGCGAAAAATCAGGAGTTCAGAATGTCTTGCCGTGGTGCGAAACCCGGTTTTACTGTAGCAATCCCCTGAAACAGAGATGGCCCACAAGCATCGAGGATGATACGTGAAATGGTGCTTTGGCTGGGCTCGCGAAGCAAACGAAAGCGAGATCTAGGGCCAACGCACGAGACAAGCTTGAATTGGCACTGTTCCTCGGGTTCGAAGGCGTTCGCCCCCGTCAAACAAATCTTGTTTCTGCTGCAAGGTAAGCGAATAGTGCATTCGAGAACCATTTGGAACCATTGTGAGAAATGGAGGGACGGGATGATAGAGGAGTTTGGCAGGCATCCACGGATACGTGAGTACGGTACGGCAGAGGCTCGATCTCAGCTTCGGATGAAAGGCAAATGGCGGGAGACAAACAATTTGCTTATATTTTTCCTACCGTTTGGCAATATAGATAGACTAATACGTGCATACAGCCCTCTAGTGTCTAGACGACAAGTGACCTCATATGAGGTCATTTTCAACTTATTTTTTCCCGACTTGCTCGCTCAACATGAAGGAAAAAGATACTCTCGCCACTGCAGTTGACTTTTGCGTTGCGGAAGGGTGGAGTTTGGTGAGATCTGCACGTCTTTTCCAGCCATTTTCAGAATGCCTCAAAAAGAAGCTTTTTCGAACAACCTCAAAACGTTATGTGTTGATATCTTCGAGAGCAAAAGGCCTGTTTAAAATATCAACCGAAGACCGAAATGTCACTAGATTTTTAGGCTTTCTGTGTATTCACAAATGCTATCCCAATGTTTTGCAGGATGTTATTGCCGAGGGCATATAAATACGTTAAAGAAATGGTGTCTAATGTAGAATAGTGGCTGTCGCCAGCTATGAGCTAGCTCGAGGAAGAGGTAACAACCAATAGGGGGTGTCCCGCCATAGATCTGGACTGTGGTAGAGCAAAGGGGAAGTACGTCGGCCGACTGTAAAAGCACGACGTACTGGTCGAAGTGCGGACCCGGAATGCCACCAGCACTGGAAGGGTTGGTGTAAGAACACACAAAACAGGGGGGAACCCGAGCCTAAAGACTAGTGTCAGACACGGGCGGAGCGCCAAGTAGCGGAAACTTCTAGATGGAACGAGCGGGACAGATGTCAATAGTGCCGCCAAGGCTAGAGGCTTGTCGTAGCCCGCGACTTGACAATCGTCACAATACAGGGAGAGAGAAATAGGTCGTGCGACAGTAATACGCCTAGGTTAGAGGCTAGTTTTAACCCGCGTAGTCGCAAAGACGGAGGAATGGAAAAGGTAAAGTAAAGGCAACAGACGCCAGGGAAACGTCGCAAGACAGATGCCGACAATGTGGCCTAAGTCAGAGGCTTGTCTTGACCCGCCGTGTCGCACCGTCGAAGGAAATCCGTTCCCAAAAGATCCTTGACTGTTTACTGTCATTGCCCGGCGCCGTCGCTTAAATAAGCGAGGTCGCGGGGTCTTGGACATTGTCCATCCTACGGTACTACTGTACTCTATGGTGCAATGCACTGTACTATGCTATTACTACTGTACCTTGTCATATCCAACCTCCGGACTGTACTGTATACAGTACATCATCGGCTTGTAATGCCCACGTGTAGTCGCGCGCTTGTAAGGCACACGTGTCGTCCATCGGTCTGTAATGCCCACGTGTAGGCACGCGTCTGTAAGGCACACGTATCGTCCATCGGCCTGTAATGCCCACGTGTAGTTCGTCCGCCTGTAAGGCACACATGTAGTCCATCGGCCTGTAATGCCACGTGTACACCCGAATATCGCAAATAGTCTAGGCTGTACTATTCAAAGTTCAACGTCAAAACAGGCCCTCACTGATTTTACTGCAGCCTATGCTAATATGTGCAACGACACTATATGCAGGACAAACGCAATTAGCATAGACTAATTATTTAAATATATTACAATAGTGCAGGCTACACTATTTCCTCGTTTACTGAATGGGCCAATCAAATCACGAGCAACATACCTCGTCGGCAGTTATTCTCTTTATAGGTCATCAACAACTGGTGCTCCCTCAAAGTGTGTTCGGTATTTGTTAACAATCTCCTGCAGCTTCGGGAAAAGCTGTCGTTCCGCCCACTGCCCATTGATATTTAAAGCAAGACCAGTCCGTATCATCGCCTTTCGTGCGAAACGAATGCCGCCTCTGTCGCGCATAGAATTGAACTCGCGAACTGCAGCGGCAGCAAGACGAAGATAAAAGTATTTGCCTGGGTTAGGAATTTTCCCTGAAAGCGGCGCAAACCCGTCCTTCATGATCACCTCCATCTTGTACTTATCCCAACGCGACCTCCATGCATCCTTTAATTTTTGAATAACAAATGAGTCCGCTGACTGGATCAAATCGGTCGCATTGGGTGGGAAAAATCGCACTTCAGTGTTGATAGAATTCAATGCCGCCGCTAAAGTTGTAGATGCTCCATGTCCACTGCAGTTGTCTACAAACAAAATACGCTTGCGGCCATGAGGAAGAGGCCGGATGACCTTTTTCTCGGAGAGGTACTGGGTGAAGACGGTTCTTTTCATGCAATCTTTAGGCCCATAACGGTACGAAACCCCGAGGATATTGTCAGGAACCCGTTGTATAGGATAACTTCTATTCGCGTTTTGGAAAATCATAAACGGAGCTTCAATAATTGCGTCCTTACCGCCTGAAATCCTTACCATCATAGTCATTCCCTCAGAGCCAGAGACAACATCAGAATATTTAACCTCTGAGTCGCCACACTTCCCCAATGTCCTATTGTTATCGATGTTGATAAGGAAGTGCGTTTCATCTGCGTTACAGATATCATTCTCGTCAATAGCACCCGAGCGAAAATCCCTAGCAACGACTCCGAGGTGGAACGCAACATCTCGCTCAATCTGTGCCTGCTTCCCTGCTGACACCATAAATTTCCCAGTTTGCGCTCTGCTGACAATATGATATCGGTTCATGAACCCCTATACCCAACGTGCAGTTATCATATCGACAATTGATTTTTGGGATTTTTCGTCTATCATATTTACATGATAATCTACTTTTCTGGACTCCTTCACGAGATGCAATGAGAGATGATGTAGCAACTTAGCACTGAATCTCAATCCTGTCTTCCGCAACCTATCAAAATCTTCCAGAAGCGCAATATGCAGAGCTTCAACCCAAACGGCACGTTTGCGCCCTCTTCCCGTCCGAGCCTTGATATACAGTCGTTCGAATCCCACTCTTGTCACCCGGGTTATCAAAAGGGGTATGCCACGGTTGTCCACACTTCTCGAATAGGACAAAAATTCTTCTCGCGCCGCCCAGAGCCTGTTCTCCTTCCCGCTGTTCGCCTTTGCGTTACCTCTGAACAGCATGGGGAAGCGACGAATGGCACGCGATGCAATGTGTCCCGCGCCATATGTGCTTGCGGCGTCAACGATCCATGTGACAACACGAATACGCTCAGCATGGGTTAGTAAATTTTGTAGTGCTCGGGTCGGTACAGGGGCCAAGGGTGTAGCATTCATAGATGCCCGGGCGGATTGGGTGCCGTTGGCAGGAGGGGGAAGGGATGAGTTCGGGATTGGAGCCGTGAGGAGAGAGGGGGTGTGGCGGTTATGGAGGGGTGTCATGAGGACATGTGAGGCATTTGCAGGGGTGAGACAGGCGATTGCGGCTATAGATGTGTTGGTAGTAGCTCGGTTAAGAGCCCGAATAATAGGCAATGCAGAGCAGTCCATGTTCAGGACAAAGACTTCGGTGATAGTTTTTGCGATTGTTGTCTGGAGGTGCCGAGATAATGAGGCTTTTATAGAGCTTTTTTACCCTTTTGATGTGCTTAGAAAGGTATGAACTCGGATACAAGAGCTTCCCGCCAACGTCTGTGTCTGAGGGACCGTTTCGGTTTCGCTTCTTGTTTGTTTGGCGCGTCTCCACTAATATACGTGAAGTAATTATTAGTGTAGTCTACAGTAAAAGCATTTTCAATAAAGAACACCTCACAGAAGTTACTGCAGCCTATACTAATATGTGTATCGACACTATTAGCCCACCCAGACTATTTGCGGTATTCGGGTGTAGCCGTGCGCCTGTAACTCACACATGTAGTCCGTCGGCCTGTAATGCCCACGTGTAGCCGTGCGCCTGTAAGGAACACATGTAGTCCATCGGCCTGTGATGCCCACGTGTAGCCGTGCGCCTGTAAGGCACCTGCGGCGGCGGGTGCTGTACAAATTACAAATCTGGGCTGTGATACCACACGGCCCCCCGCCCAAACCGAAGCCGTCCCGGCGCTGCACTTGATTATGACAACGATCTCCTTCTTCTTTTTTTTGTCTGCGTGACGTTGGGTGCGCTTGCGCCCAAGCCGGATGGCCCATTTCATGCGCAAGGGCTCTGCCGCCGAGGTGGGCAATTTCGTGTGGCTCCGGGGCCACGCGGTACCGCGCGAAGTCTTCCAGCAGCGGGACTTGCGTTGGCGATGTGGCAGCGCACCCAAGAACTGGAGATCGGCGAACCGCCTCCCAAGAACTTGGACACCGCAGGCCATGGTCAATCAGCGCTTCGACTACAGCTTCTACGACGACGCTCTGCCGCCCGACTGGCAGTTTGATGTGGCGTTCGCCCGATACGGACGTGAACTGGCATATTGCCGTGCGTTGGCAGCTGCCCGAGCGACGATCGGTTTCTTCGATGATGCCGAGCAGTTCGATCGTCGCTGCTTGTTTGCGAAGGTATCGCTGATCCACCCAACGCATTGGCCCTTCTATGACAACCCCCAGGGCCATCATGTCGACGGTCGTCACAAATATATGCCTCAATCATGGCGTCGGTGGGAACGTTCATCACGACACCGGTTTGGCGTGTTCGCCGCTGTGCAGCATGGAGAGATTTTTGGTCTGCGATCGGAGGTTGTGAGGCAACGATGGCCGCGGGTCCCGAAAGGTTGGGAGACGTTGGAGGTTCCTCTATGGGTGCCGGTCGGCACGCCACCTGTCGTGACGTATTTGGGAATCGGCTTGGCAGTAGCAAGCCTTGACGATTGCCTCGGGAAACTTTTGTACACAGAGTTTGCTTGGCTCGCGGCAACGGAGGCAATCCATGTAGCCCGACAAGGCCGTTTGCTTCGGTTTTCCCCTTCCTTAATTGCGGCAATTCGCAGAGTTGGCGTTGATGCCATTTGTTTTGGTCACGATGACCACATGGTCGAGTTAGAAGCACTCCTTCACGAAATGGAAGTCATCCGATGGGACCGCGTGTGGCGGTGTAACGGAAAGGTTCCACAGTATAACCATTACGGTACCCCGGTGTATGACTCGGGTGATTATGTCGAGTTCGACGCGCAACGATGGGCAACACAAATGCCGGATGCGATGTACATCCAAGAAGATTGTGACGGACGTCCATGCGAACCAATTCCATCTACAGGCGTGTTGCATACGGGTTTTCTTAACCACTGCGTGCCAAATCCGGTCCTGGCACCATGGGAGTGCGTTCGTGAGGATGCGGGTAGTAACAGCAGACGGGAGAGAAAGAATCGTCGGGGTGTGGGACATCACAACAGGACAGCATCGGCGTCGGTTGAAGCACGCGAACTGTCCTCATCGACTCCTCTGGATGGCCATACTGGCACTGTAGAGAGTGGCATTTCACAGATTAGATCACTGCTCGTCGAGCGGGGCTTGCAGCCGAGGATGGCATCTGTCGGTATCGCACTGCCATCATCTGCCAGTGGTGTAGTCGACGTAATTGAAACCCTATTGCGCAGTAGCCCTTTGGGCAGCCTTGTGACAGCCTGTCCCTCATACCCCGCGAGCAGGGAGGAGATCAAAGATCTGGATGCGCCTGTGGATATCGAGATTGATATTTCGCAAGGCATTCCCCCTCTCCAGATTCCCCGCACGACATACGTCTCTGTTGAACCGGCGCACGCCTTGCCTCAGCCGGTTATCGATCTCACGACTGAATAAATTCTAGATAGCCCCTTTTCTTGACCTTCTCCTATTTTCTCGACTGTTCCATCCGACACTTGCCAAAGCCATTTTTGTAAAAGGCTTTGGGATACCAGGACTTTTTTTTGACTAATGTGTCGTAGCCAGAAGATGGCGAAGGTGTTCTGGAACCTGGCGGCCCCGTCGGCGGAAATAGCGGACAACGGAGTTGAAAGGCAAATTACGCCCTGGTTCCCAAGTGTCACCCGACTCATCATAACCAGTCCATCGGACTCTGAATCGATCGTTTCGATCATTATACGCGACAATTGCGTCAAATGAGTGCTCTTTTCTTCTGCCGTCTATGGCATATTCCGCCTCAGAGATTTCTGATCTTCGAAGGCAAGAGAAGGGTCTCCGATGTTTTACAGAAATGTCTTCTGACGGCGTCCTATCACCCTGCTCATCATAGGAATTATTCCTAGTCTCATGATGGGCTGATTGACTGCCGCTGGCCGCGGGCAGGTTGGGGGTTCCGTCTTCAGACTCATTGTCGTTTTCGACTTCTCTTGTAATTCTTGCTTGGACTGTCTTTTTTGAAACCCGGTCCCTGGTTACCGTCTCGGTGAGGCCATCACGAATAATAGTGACTGTGTGTGATGTCGCTCCGGTGACCTCAAATGGTCCATCTGCTTTTGGCTGTAGCTTGTTCCTGGAAACCCCTCCACTTTCAGTACGTAGCGGTACTTGTCTCTTCACGAACACTTTGTCCCCAACATCCGCTGGGGATGCTATTTTTCTGACATGCTTGTCGTAATTTTCCTTGTATCGTGTCTGAGCTGCTCTTAGCGTGTCGGTGGCTCCGTCCATGAGACTTTTAAGATGATCCATCAGCCCCATACGTTCGCCTCGAGTTTCTGCCGTTGTGCCATTCTCGGGAATGTTTTCCAAGGCCACGGGCCCTGGAGGTCGTGACAACACAAGTTCGAATGGTGTACATCCCGTGCTGCGATGTACTTGCGTGTTATACGCGTACGTCAGAGGACCACAGTATTCATCTCATTTCTTTTGATGTTCCACGACGTAGTGGCGTATGCCCGATAATATGGTTCGGTTGAACCGTTCCACTTGACCATTGGTCTGAGGGTGATACGCAGTGGTAAAGCGATTGCGAATCCCCATGATTTGACAAATCTTTTGGAAGAACTTCGACGCCAATTGACCACCGTTATCGGATAGAAGATAGGCAGGTGGTCCATACGGATAAATCCAATTCTCGACGAAGGCTCTTGCCACTGTCATTGATGTGATGCTTTTCAGCGGTATCGCTCTTGTCATCTTCGAGAACCGATCTGAGATGACCAAAAGGTATTGGTTCCCTCTTGTCAATCGGGGTAGAGGTCCCAAAATGTCGATGGCGACGAACTCTAGCGCCCTTCTCGCGGGGAAGAGTTAAAAAATGTAGAGTGCTTGCGCAATTGTACTCTTTTGCGGGCGCATGAGTCACATTGTCTCACGCAGGCGTGACATTCCAATGCCATGGAAGGCCAGTAGAACGTGCGTCGCATTGTATAGAACATCTTTGTACCCCCAGGATGACCTGATGTTCTTGTATAGTGGCATAGGTAAAGAATCTTTTGCCTTAACATGGTCGGTACGACAATTTGTCTGCAGTCGTGGAAAGGGGCAACGCGGACCAGGAGACCGCGGTCGTCGACGTCGAAGCGACTTGTTTCGTCATTATCGACTTTCTCTTTCAACATTTGACAGTATCTGTCGTTAGCTTGAGAGATCACCAGCTCTTCGATTCGGACTGGAGATAGATCTGTGTTCTCAGCGTTCACGACGCAGATCCCCTCGTCATTGAAATCTAACGTGATTGCATCGCGTCTGAGCTCGATCTTGACATCTTCGTCATCTTGATCTTCATCCATCCAAACGCTGTTCTCTTGAACCCAGAAACAAGGAATGTCTGAGTCAGGTTCGACCGCACACCCGCCAAATGTCGGCAGCCTTGACACAGCGTCTGCAATGCAATTCACAGCCCCTTTGCGGTACTTGATTGTGGAATCGAACTCCAGTAGGCGGAGACGCCATCGACCAAGCCTGCCACTGGCGTCTGTTAGACTCATCATCCACTTTAAATATTGATGGTCTGTGTAGAGCTCGAAGTGCTTCCGCTCGAGATATGGTCTCAAAATCTGTACTGCCCAAATTATGGCGAGGCATTCCTTTCGCCGACGCTGTAATTATTTTCCGCTGGGATCAGGGAACGACTCCAAAATCCCGCCGGATGGCGCGTTCCGTCTGGATATGTCTGAAACAGGGCGCAGCCCACTTGTCGCTCGCAAGCATCCGTGTCGACCGAGATTGGAAGGTTTGAGCGCGGTAGCTTGAGAATGGGAGGACTTATAACCGCGGTCTTCAGTAAACCAAAAGCCTTGGACTGTTCAACCGAGAATTTCTCTAATTGGAAAGGCTTCCCCTTTGCTAAAAGTACATTAAGGGGTGCCGCAGTTCTTGCGAAGTTCGGCACGAACCTTCGGTAAACATTGCACATGCCAAGGAAAGAGCGAAGCTCAGTTTGCGTCGTCCGCTCTTGTGCCTTCTTGATGGCATCGGTGTTCTTCTCGGCAACGGCCAAAAGTCCAGGGCGGATGACATGGCCAAGATAGTCGACCGACTCAGCAAAGAAATTACACTTTTCAAGCTTCAGAGAAAGTCCTGCGTCCTGGAGGACTTTCAAAACCTGTTGAACGTGAGTTGAGTGCTCTTCAATGAAATTCGAGAAAATGATGATGTCATCAAAGTACACGAGGCAACTCTTCCACCTATATCCTGATAGTAATATATCTAGTGTTCTCTGGAAGGTGGCTGGAGCATTACACAAGCCAAAGGGCATTCTCCGGAACTGGTAACAACCTTCATGGCATGTAAACGTCGTCTTCTCTCTATCGGCTTCCGCCACGGGGATCTGCCAATAACCACTGTTGCAATCGAGGGTTGTGAAGCATTTAGCGTCCCCCAGCGAGTCCAAGCAGTCTTCCATCTTTGGCAACGGATATGAATCCTTCACAGTGATGGCATTTAGCCTTCTGTAGTCAACGCAGAACCGTAAGAGATCCATCTGATTTGGGCACAAGCACCACCGGGCTAGCCCACTCACTTTGAGCGAGCTCGATGACATCCTTGTCCAGCATCTCCTGTACGGATTCTTTCAAGACTTTCCTGGCCCCAGGACCTGCTCGATATGGCTGGGAGATGACCGGTTTGGCCCCCGGTACCAAGGGATTAGGGGATTAGGGGATATTTCCTTTTATAATATAGAGTAAGGGATTTAGGAGTAGGGTGATTTTTGTACTTTAGGGATTCGGTGGGATTCGGAGATTTAGAGGAGTAGGGGATTCGGTGGGATTCGGAGATTTAGAGGAGTAGGGGTTATCACCGTATATAATATATGTATTCGTACATTGGTAGATTGGTAGATTAGTACGTTGGTAGTTTAGTCTATTGGTAGATTGGTACATTGGTGCATTGGTAGTTTAGTATATTGGACCATTGGTAGTTTAGTGCATTGGTGCATTGGTGCATTGGTAGTTTAGTATATTGGGACATTGGTAGTTTAGTGCATTGGTGCATTGGTACATTGGTAGTTTATTACATTGGTACATTGGTATATTGGTACATTGGTACATTGGAAGATTGGGTTTTGCATTTGAATGGGTTTATCATTTGAATGGGTTTAGCATTTGAATGGGTTTAGCATTTGAATGGGTTTAGGATTGGATTGGGTTTAGGATTGGATTGGGTTTACGTTTGGAGTGGGGTTTACGTTTGGGTTGGGTTTAGCTGTGCCCTGGGTTTAGTTTATGATTGGGTTTCGCTATTGATTGGGTTATAATCATTCTGGGTTTCGGCAACGGTGGGTTTTACATACTGGGATTACGTACCGTCTCACTGTCACCCTGTCACTGTGTCACTCTACACCCCATTGAATTTGGATTTACGCAGCATAAACTCGAAATAGGGGAAAATTTAATATTTCCGAGGTTTCTGCGAAAAGAGTTTAATTATTTAATTCTGTTAATGTTTTCAAATACTTGTGATTTAATTTATGACCCTCCCTGACTGGATCCGGTGTGACCGTGATCTGATTCTCGCCGCCGCCGCCGCATGCCGCCCAGAATTGAAATCTTTCACCACCACTCTCCCACCCTCCTCCCACTTCTCACACCCCCGCCCCATCGATCGAAATGTTTTCGTCGTCCGCTTCCGTCCGATTAATCGCCGATGATCTGCTGAACGTGTCGCCATCCACGTCTTTCTCTTGCATTCTCGCTAGCCGCTTGCTGGGTCACGGTTACGGGGGCAACATCGCATCGCCACTGTGACTCGTTCTCACTCGCTCACCTCCTCTCCCCTCCCCGCCTGTCCGTGCCCCTGTACCCGCTCCCGAGTTCCCTTTGCCAGTAAGTGCGCCCTCGCTTTTACGTCACGCGCAGGCGCCTGTCAGATGAACACGCTCTAACACTCTCGTTTCGCCTCTTCTGTTGACCCTTACTTTGTTTCATTTCGCTCACGTCGCATCACATCGACTCTACAGACCTGGCCCAACTTCCCTCCTCTTCCCAAGAATTGCAGAGCAGAGCGCCGCGAACCAATGCCATTATTTTTTCGTTCTTCCGCAGCCTTCTATACGCAAAAACCGCGTTGTCGTACGTGACCGGCAACTGCTACCGCAGTTATGGTCCCAATCGCATGCTTTACGCCTAATTCACGCTGATTGGCAGTTTAACGAGTCCCTTGTATGTGTTTCTAACTTTTTATTGGCGCTACCGCGTAGCAGGGGAAGAGGCATGCCAGTGCGAGTTGATAATTTTCCAATTGTTGTGGTACATTGTTGGCTTCCTACGCTTACGAACGGAGGAGATGGAGGTGGGTGTCGCGAGGGAGCGACGGACTTCCCGGGGGATGGACATGGGCGGTGCCTGTGGTGGGGGCAATCGGAAGGGTATAAGATCGTAGCGAAAACCGGGAGGAGCTGGGTATAGGGAGACAGAGGCCGCACTGGAGCTAGAGAAAGCCACCGCAGAGACACCGGAACTAGCAACGAAAAGCTGTGAGGATCACTGGTTCTATCAGGGGAAAACATCAGTGTTGGTACGACTGAGAATGAACACTCCTGTAGGTCGCGGCCGGAAGAGGCCAAATGTCAGAGCTATGCACCACTTGGTCAAAAAACGGCAGAAAAAAAGGACCCGCTCCGACGCAGACGTAGAAGGGGGAATGCCCTTGAGGAGTAGGAGGGACCGCGCGAGAAAAAAAATCAAACCAGTTTCTGCTGGTCTTTGCCAAAATGACGGGGCCGAGCACGGGCACGAACATGGAAGCAAATTGGAAGCAGAAGCAAGGGCAACGAAAGCTCCCGCTTCCCCAGTATGCGAGAATCAGAATTGCGCAGATCAGGAAGAAGAAAGGCCTAATACTCGCCTCCTTCGCTCGTCGTCCTTGGTCGACAGTCAGGCTAGCCATATAGTTGCCACCAAAATCACCCCTTTTGCCAAGACGAAGAACATCCCACCCACGTACTCGGCACACACAGAACATGTCCTCCGTGGACGCGGCGGTGTACGAACTGAGAGCAACGAGGAGTCGGATGGCGCCGTAACAGAGAGTGATGGAGACGAGAAGCCAGCAAAATCGATTCCCAGTCTCAGCAGTGACAGTTCGAGAAGCCTCAGCGTCAGCATCAGCAGCAGTCTAGGTGATGACGAGGAAATTGAGCCTATTCTACTGCCTGGAGATGGGACACTGGTTTATGACTCAGGACAGGATCCTGATTTCGTAGTTCATTTTGACGACAACGAACAGGACAGTGAGTACATTAATGAGGCCGTGGATGCCGGAAAAAGGGGAGTGGAAGCGAGAGAAGAGGAGTTTGACGATGACGCGGAGAGTGCGTCTGAATATGTTGACATTGGAAATGGGAATGACGGCAGCAGAGGCAGCAAAAAGAACCGAGGGGAACATCCCCCTCTGCTTTCCACTCCATCAGGTCCCGGATCTAGTCAACGTGAAGCTGTAGAAGACGGCGATCTAGATCTGGTGCAGCGTTTCCAGAATGATGGGGATCGGGATGAGGGTGCTGATGATTTAGATTTGCATCAGGATAACCTAGGATTCGACGTCGCGCTCATTGACTACTCGCAAGTGTCTAGACGTCTACAAGAAATGATCAGAGAGAGGAATTTGTCGACGAGAAAGTGTCCAAAAAAACCAGAAAAGCGGAGATTGTGCCGCAACATGCCCGTGGAGGAAAGCCACAAGTGTGACCAAAGCGTGCAAGAGCTGTGGGTGCAAGCGGTACGGCGTCTTCATGAGCGCTGTCCCGAATTTTTTACGTCCAGGGAGGCCAGGCTCGAGGAGGAGGCTACAGCTAGAAAAGGCAAACCAGCTTATTCGTCGGTCCTAGTTAACCAATTCAACAACTGCGACGTACAGAGCATTTTCATCACAGAGTACGATCGCAAGGTCAAGCATGGGGGGAGCTACAGTAGTTATCTCCAGCTTGTTACTGTCGCCGGCCAGTATTTACGGCTGTGCGTCGTACTCGGCTTGACTACAGTTGGTAAGTTGTGGGAAAAAGGGCAGCTTTTTTCTGCCATTGGCGACATGCAGACCGTAGATCTATTTCTGGCACACTACGATGCGAGAGCGGAGTGCAACACAGTAATGACTAAGGCGTTGCATCTGCGAAAAATCGCAGAGCACGCAAAGCTTTACTTCATGGACGGAGATAGAACGTCTTTTGCAAATGCCGAACGCGCTCGAGTGAAGCTTCAAAAAATTTTCAACGCTCAAAAAGCACTCGGACGATCGCTGGCGACACGCAAGAAGCAGATGGAGGAGAGATGTGCAGAGGGTTCCATTTTCTCGCCGGAAGACTTTGAGAAATGCTACAAATTAGTGCGGAAATCGCTTGATGGGGTCATGCAGTCTTACATTCAGGTGCAAGAAAACGGGAGCAGAAACTCGGCAGCGGAAGCTTTGGCTATTGTAGAGCGACCCGACGTCATCCGAAAGTGGTTTATGAATTTTATGCTGCTGCTTCTGTTCGCTGCTGGAGGACAGAGGCCTCAGACGTATACAAAGCTACAAGCACCGAGTGCAGGGGAGTCGCGAGATATGAAGGAACAGGCGGCTCGAATGCCGTTTTTCGAAGTGAAGACACTTTTTGAGAAAACGAGGCGGTCTCTGGATATGCCAAACGTATTGGTGCCAGCTCATGCTATTAAGTATTTTGACTTTCATGTCAGTGTGATGAGGAACGTAGTGCTCCGCCGAGCAGAAGTGGAGGAATCAGATTTTATGGATAGGCCTCTACTGATGCATACAGAGTATGGAACCGAGCTGAAAAGCACGCAGGTGATATCTTGTCTCCGGTCCTTTTTAACCTACAACGTTCCCGAGATGAAGTCAATCACAGTCATGGCGCTTAGAAGCAGCTACGGGACCATGACCATGCGTGCGTTTCGAGAGAAAAGGATTTTCCGCGGCATGAGCGAGAATGCCTTCCTCGGCATACTGGCAAAGTACATGAACACGTCGCCAGAGCAGCTGATGACTACGTATATTGGAATTGACAGGTCGGACTTCGAATCGTCCGCCCGCGAACTTGTAAGGGTTCTTGACTTCGACAACGATAGCTCAGAAGAGGATTCAGGACGGGGCAGGGGGACTTCAACCCGCACAGAAAACAGTCGTAGAATGTCTTACGAAAACGTATTGGGTCTGTAGAGGTATAGTTGCGTGTGGGAAGGGGGCGGCGTCATTGGAAATTGAGCTCAAATTGGTCTGCATGCGCTTTTCACGTTGAATGAATAAAGAAATCCGGACAGGACGGGACACGAAAACAAAGTCGAAAGTCTAGCGATGGCGGCCATGGCTGCGGCATCTCACAGCCGAGGTAAGGATAGATCTGTTGATTCGGCGTGAAGTCGCGGTCGGGTGTTGGACACGTTCTATTTGTTTGGCAGAGGCGTCTGATGCTATCATGATGTGAGCGACAGCGAGCGGTGGCGTGGGTGGCGTGGCGAAGAGGTCTTAACAGCCGGCGGGCGTCGTGCG